TTTTAAAATGTTATGAAAATTAAAAAACAAATACAAAAAAAATAATTAAAATAAGAATTTATTATAAAAAAAATTGTTACAAAAAAAAAATTATACTAAAAAATTTAAAATGATCGTTAAAGAAATAAATAACAATTATAAAAATCATATTTATTAATAATAAAAGATAATTATGAAAAAATTATGAATAATTATAAAAAATTAACAAACAAATAAAGCAATAATAAAAATAATAACAAACAGTAATAATAAATAATGAATTTAATAATTAATAATTATAATAACAATAATAATAACAAAAAAAATAATAATAATAATAACAAATAATAATAATACATAATAACAATAATAACAAGTAATAATAATAAATAATAACAAATAATAATAATTAATTCATAAACAAAATATAAAAAAGATAATTTATTCATAAACAAATAAATAAAAAAATATTATTAAATGATTATGAAAAAAATAATTATAATAGAATTTAAATATGATTGTAAATTATTTATTTACAAATAATTATAAAAAATATAAATGTATAAAAAAAAAATATTTATAAAAAGAAGCTATAACAATAAAAATAATAAATAATAGTTAAAGAAAAAATACTTAAAAACAATAAATAATTATAAAAAATTACGAAAAAATTATTTTAAGAATTAAAAATAATTATTAATAATTGAAAATATTAATTAATAATTATAAAACAATATTATTATAAAAATAGATACGAAATAACAAGAAATAATCGAAAAATAATAATTAAAAAAAATAAAATAAATAAAAATAATTCGGAACAAAAAATATTTATAAAAACATAAATAACAATTCTAAAACAATGAACAATTTAAAATTTAAAATAATTACAAAAAATAGCTATAAAAATAAATTATATCAAATCAATTCAATTGAAGCAAGTATAAAAACAATAAATAATAATAATATAATTAAATATTTTTAAAACAATAAATAAATATGAGAAAAGTAAAAAAATACAATAAAATAGAGAAATATAAATGAATATATTATATATGAAAAATGTGTAATCAAAAATCGTATATAGTAAAATCATATTCATACATTGTATTCATATTTATATACTAATTGAAAAGAATACATATTAAAATATAAAAATTAGAAAAAAATTAATTTTGAAAAAGAATTTAATCAAATCAAATAGTAAAAAAAAATACAATCAAAACAAAGCCGCTTTTAACCGAATTCTTCCAATCAGTGCCAGCTATACGAAATTATACCCTCATTACTTTTGTCATTGCCACCGACGATTGCCTTTGCTGCTACTAACCGAATTGGCAGATGCTGTGCGGCTACCCCTGCTGTCTTTGCACTTTTAATTTGTAGCCGTTATCAGTGTAAATTGAGTTGAAACGCACATGCACATTCGAAAACAGCGTGATAAAGCTGCGCAGCATCATTGCTGTCTAACGAACTGAACAAAACGAACGTACAATGGAACGAGCGTAAAAGGAAGCTTTAATTATTTACACGAAATTCCATATTACTATAATATATTACTCATAATATGCACCTACAAGCTACATATAGAAAGCATATTCCTACCTATTGACCGTTATCAGTTGTTGATTATTAAACATACATACATATAACATATATGTAGGTACATAATCGAAATTGTTTATTGTTTATATTTTCTAATAATAATAAATTATAGGTACAAAAAATGTCCCTCATTAGGTAAGAAATGCCGGTTTGAAAATATTAAACAAAATAATATTAGCAAAGGGTCAGCGCTTATGTAGGTTATTATAATACATACATATATACATATGTATGTACTTACATGTGATTGTATGTACTCTTATATTGTTGCAATGCAATGTAGTTAGACAAAAAAATATATTATTTTAATACATATTATTAACCTTCAAGCATTTTCATATATAGCCACATGGAAATGTGTGTATTTATATTTGATAACAATCTATAAATTTCTGCCTAATGGTGATTTCTAAAAAATAATTATAACAAAGAGTCCAATCGAAATACACAAATATACATACATATTTATTTGCATAGCTTTTAAAGAGGAAAATATAAAAATTCTTTTTTTTTTTAATTTTTTTATAATAAGTATGGAGATTCTTTAATTTATTTTATTTTCTTTAATTTTTATTATCTACTTAAATTTAAATTTCTTTAATTATATATTTCTTAAATTTTTATATTATTATATTTTTATTTTTCCTGAATAACTTTTACAGAGCAAAAAAGAAAAATTCTCATAACTGAAAAAAAAAAATATATATAAAGATTCTTTAATTTATTTTATATTCACTAATTCTTATTATTTTCTTAAATGTTTTAATTTCTTAAAGTTTTAATTTGCCAATTTTTTAAATTTTTCATTATTTAATTTTTATGTTTTTAATATTATATATTGCCTTAATATTTTTGTCATGTTTTTCTTAGGTTTTTAACTTTTAAATTTTTATTACTTTTTAAATTTTTTATATTTTTTATATTTTTTTATATTTTTTTATATATTTTATATTTTTATATAATTTTTATATTATTTTATTTTTTATTTTTATTTAATTTTTTTTATTTTTTTTTTTTATTATTTATATATTTTTTGTTATTTATATTTTTTATTTTTTTTAATTTTTATTCTTAATATTTTCTTATTTTTATTCTTATCTTTGTATTTTTTAAATTTTTTTATTTTTTATATATTTTCTGTATTTTTTATATTTTTTTATTTTTAATATTTAATTTTTTTGTTTATTTTTTATTTTTATTTTTTATACTTTTTTATTTTTATATTTTTATACTTTTTTATTTTTTTATATTTTTTATTCTTATTTTATTTTTTAAATTTTTTTGTTTTTTTATCTTTTTTTATTTTTAATTTTTTCTTAATTTTTTGTATTCTTATATTTTCTATATTTTCTATATTTTTTTATTTTTTATATTTTTTATATTATTTTATTATTGATTTTTATTTTATTTTTTATATTTTTTTATTTTTTTTTATATCTTTTTTTTTTTGATTGTTTATATCTTTTTATGCTTATTTTATTTTACTTTTTATATTTCTTTATTTTAAATTTTTTATTTATTTTTAATATTTTTAATTTTTTATATTTTTATTTTTTTTTTATATTTTTTAAAATTTTATTTTTTTTATATTTTTATATTTTTTATATATTAGAAAAATTGAACTTTGGTTATTTCTATAACCAAACAAATTTATTAATTTAAAATATAAATATGTATTCAGTGCACAATAAAAATTGAAAAAAATCAATAACAAAATATGAAATTGCCAATATTTTTTAAATAATTAAATCATTTTTTAATCTTTTTGAAGTGCTTCTAGAAAGAATTGGTGTCAAATAAGCAACAAAACCAAACTCCTAAAAAAGCTTCGATAGAAAAATATTAAATTATCAATTTTTTTATTTATTTATTTTTTTTTTTAATATCCCATTCAACTTTAAAGTGCTTTTGTTATATTTTATTAAGCTAACAATTTGTAATATATTTTCAGAATTGATTATATTAATAAAATTAAATTAAATAAACATTATTAGTCATATTTATATTTTATCTATATCTTTAATTTTATAAAATCTTCTTACAACATTTTCAAGTACTAGGAATTATTACTTTTTATAGGTATATGTATTTGTTAACTCCATACTGATAATAAATGAATATTCTAGGCCTATAAACCTTTTTTTTTTAAATAAGTAAAAGAACACTTTAAAGGTGCTTTTTTATTTGGATGATTCAAAAAAGTATAAGCCTGAACAATTATATTTAGCTAATTATTGTCGGTTTTTAGTATTTTTCTTTGTTAATAAAAAAATAGATATAAAACAATGGCATTTGGACGGGAAGAAAATTTAAAATTTGATAATTAAGATATTCTATGAAATACGCTAAGAAAAACAAAATGTACCTTAAAAAACTCTTTTTTCGAATAACTTTTTTTTTCTTTAATTAATCCTTTAAAAAAGCAGAGAAAATATTACATCTTTTGCTAACTACAAAAACTCTACTGCTACTTAACTATCAGAACCAATTCCCTTATGCACATCATTCCTAAATGTTTCAAACATTCGATACAATCAGCAATAAGGCAAAGTAGCTGGCAATCAAAAATACAAAATGAGTAATTAAAAATTATGTAAGCCACTCCAAAACCTATATGTCCTATATGTATGCATGTGAAACAAAATATTAAATAATAGCAATTATTAAAAAAAATATGTAAAAATTTCATTCAATCCTTACATTTGCACCGTTTTGCAAATACAACGTTTAAGACTACCTCTTGCGCCGGTTAGTAATTGGATTATTGCAGCGTAGCAATCGCCGCAATAGCCACTTCAAAATCGGTTAGCAGCTACAAATATAGCTTGCGGCAGCTAAGAGAAGCAAACCATAGACTAGATTTGAAAACTACACCATAGAATACAGTTCGATAGTAGCTATCGCTGCGCGTGCATCGAACTTTGTATAAAATTTAAAAAAAAAGCTCGCAATATATTACATAGTCTAGTGCAGGTCCTTAGAGCCTAATAAAAGTGTTCTGAACATTTTTCTTTTCCCAGCTGCATAAAGGAGACATAACAAATTCTTTAAGATTTATGCAAAAAACTTGTCTAAAACAGTTACGAAAATTTATGTGCCAAAAAAAATTAATTCGAAATTTTAACGGTGTAAAGGGAATTTCAAAAATCCAACAAAATGAAGTTACTCGCACGTGCCGACACTTTTATGTCATTTACAGTACCCGAAGATGAGCCAAAGCCAACTGGAGTACGCCGTCAGGTGCGGTTATGAGCCACTTTTGAGTTATATTTGAATATATCTTACTCACACATATATAGTATATATATTAAAGTGTTTTTTTTTTTAGAAAGTTTCGACGCTATATTTTTCCAAAAATCCATTTATGCTCGAAGCAATTTTTTTTAAATACAAAAAATTTATTTAATACCTTGCAGGTACTTGCTGCCCTCAGCGTTTCAATGGGCTCATTAGTTGTGGGCTTTTCATCAGCTTATACCTCTCCAGCTTTAGTCTCTATGACTGACCGAAATTATACATCCTTCGAAGTGACACCACAAGAGGTAAGCTTTAAACTCAAAACAAGACGAAAACTGCTATAATCAGTCTTAACTATTCGCATAATAATCCAAAGAGTTTACGTTTAACTTATGAAAAATTGTATTTCTTCATTTCATTGCAGGCCTCTTGGGTTGGCGGTATTATGCCATTGGCCGGTTTAGCTGGCGGTATATCCGGTGGTCCATTCATTGAATATTTGGGACGTCGCAATACTATACTCGCAACCGCCGTGCCCTTCATTATCTCTTGGCTACTAATCGCTTGTGCTAGTAACATTGCTATGATATTAGCTGGACGTACACTTGCCGGCTTCTGTGTGGGTATTGCTTCGCTATCGCTGCCCGTTTATTTGGGTGAGACAGTGCAACCGGAAGTGCGCGGCTCATTGGGTTTATTACCAACGGCTTTTGGTAATATTGGCATTTTATTGTGTTTTGTGGCCGGCACATATATGGATTGGTCACAGTTAGCTTTCCTTGGCGGTGCTTTACCCGTGCCATTTTTGATACTTATGTTCCTTATACCGGAGACACCACGTTGGTTTGTGTCACGTGGCCGTGAAGATCGTGCACGCCGTGCTTTGCAATGGCTGCGTGGTAGACAAGCTGATGTGGAGCCGGAATTGAAGGGTCTCTTGCGTACACAAGCACAAGCCGATAGACACGCAACAGGCAATCAATTGGTGGAGTTGTTGAGACGTAATAATTTGAAGCCACTATCCATTTCGTTGGGTCTCATGTTCTTCCAACAACTCAGCGGCATAAATGCTGTCATATTCTATACAGTTATGATATTCCAAGAAGCCGGCTCCACTATTGATGGTAATGTGTGCACGATTATTGTGGGTGTGGTGAACTTTATTGCCACATTTATGGCAACCGTACTTATTGATCGGCTAGGACGTAAGGTAATTAATTGTGTGCACGATAAGATAAAAATGAAATGGTTTATTAATATAATACATATTTTTTTTTTCAAAATCACAGATCCTGCTCTACATCTCCGATGTTGCGATGATTATTTCACTCTTCACTTTGGGCGGTTTCTTCTATTGTAAAGCATCTGGCATGAATATCACTGAAGTTGGTTGGTTACCACTCGCCAGTTTTGTGATCTATGTAGTTGGCTTTTCGCTCGGTTTCGGTCCCATACCATGGCTGATGATGGGCGAGATTTTGCCAGCGAAAATTCGCGGTTCTGCCGCCTCTGTGGCCACTGCATTCAACTGGACTTGCACATTCGTTGTGACAAAAACCTTCCGCGACATGATTGGTTAGTATCTCATTTGTTTTACATTACTAAACTAACTTTAAACTTTATTTAGAATGAATAAAAAATAAAGAAACTTTTCTTTCCTACTCATTATAGATACAATGGGCACTCATGGTGCATTCTGGCTGTTCGGTTCCATTTGTGTGGTGGGCTTATTTTTCGTGATATTTTGTGTGCCTGAGACACAGGGCAAGACGCTTGAAGATATTGAACGCAAAATGATGGGACGCGTACGTCGTATGTCGTCTGTGGCGAATATTAAGCCGTTGTCTTTCAATATGTAGAAACATATTATATAACTCAGGAACCTGCATGCGTAGACCGTATGATTCATATTATGCATGCATACACATATTTACTATGATGTGTATGCGAATACAACCAAATACTAGTTTAAGTGCCTTAAAATTAGTAGATAAATACATATATTACGTGACATTGCAGCAAAAACTTGACCAGTGTAGAGCAAAGTTTGGAAAAACAATGCGAAAGGGATTTGCGCATACAATATGAATATAGAATGTACGAATACTAGAGTTAGTTTTTTAAGCAGCTAGCAAGTCAAAGAAATTATGTAGATGAGATTTATACATATATTATTCTGAATGTGATTTAGTCTAATAGCCGTTGGTCGAAAGGTAGTTTTTGTGTAAATCTTTCCATTGTCGGTGCATGACAATTGAAGTTTGCAAAAAAAAAAAAAAAACCGAAATAAAAAAAAACTTTAAGTAAAAATACCGAATTATGTTAAATAAAATTTTCATTGTGTTATTAGTAGTGTAAACAGTATACATGTAGTAGTGAACTGTGTAGTTTGTTTTTAATGAAAAAATATAAAATTTTTTTAATATATTATTATAATGACCAATAGTAGTGCTATATTTATTAAGCTAGCTATTATAATTAACATAAAAACAAAAACAAAATTAAAAAATAAAGCATGAATAAATTAGAAAAAATATTAAGTTAATAAAATGATTACATTATGTTACTTTATAATTAATCAATGTAAATTAATCAATTATTTGTTAAGTAAACGTTATATGAAAAAGAAAGTTTCCTTTAAATATAAAAGGTCTGTTGACCATAACAGAAGTGTACAATGACCAGAAAACAATTTGTTATTTTTTTATTTCTTGAATAAAACAGGTAAGAATGAATTGTCATTCCCTCGCATTCCTTAAAGTCTAGAAAAATCTCAGAAAACTTGTAGACTTAATGAACGTTTTTTTCTTTAAATACTTTTCAAGACTTGGTTGGTTTTAATTAAAAATCGCAAATATTATAACAATATTTCGTATCTAAACATATGCGTTTAATTTAAAATAAGCTGCATAAACACGTGTAATTTTATTTATATGGATATATGAGAAAGTAAGTAGAAGTAAGATTAAGACTTTTATTATATATTTAATGCCTACACTTGAGACAGCATTATATGTGGGATTGATTCGTTATCGTCATTTCACAAATATTGCTGGGATTGCATATTTTTTTGATAACCTATGCCATTCAACTTACGTAAATCCTCATAAGGATGGACATGAATATCATAAATAGAAGCACTTAAGAACACAACTACCGATTGGCAGGATTAATTGAAATTATAGAAATACTAGCTGTCTTTTATTTATGATAACACTAATTATAATTACGCTTTGAAGGAGCTGCAGTGTACTACATAGAGATACCAAGCATGTGCGAAAGTATTTATCGCAAATAACACTTAAATATGTAGGTTTGTACATATTAAGTTACAAATAAAAAAATCAATGATCATTTTGATGTGAATCCAGCAATATTTCCCACAAAAGAATTTAATAATTAACTTATTTAAAATATGAAGAAAGGAAATGTAAGTTATATCGGTACTACCTTTTAAAAGGGCATATCGATACTTAAGTATCACGACTTTCTGCAGCCACAGATTTTGTTCTGATGACGCTAAAATTAGCAAACAACATGGTACTGTGCCAGGAGTAACCGCAGTGTTGGTCCAATCAGTTACAGCCGTTAATACGTAAGTACGAAAATAGCTCAAGCTGGACAAAAACCATTGCCTAGACCGGCACAAATTTCTAAGAATGCCGAACTTTTCACTGAAGTTTGTTGCTACATATTTCGCATTTCTACATTATTAAGGTTGTGAATATCTTTAGCTAATAATGTTGTTTAATTGTATGATATTATATTAAGTGTAATTAGAAAGGAGCTCGCTCGCACTCACCCATCACTTGTACACGGCAAATAGCGCATGTATCGCACTCCACATCCCAACTCCACATTGCTACAGCATTCCATTTTTTTAATGTAAACATTTTCTCCGGCTTTCCACCATCATTTTCATTAAGTTGTTTGTCCATCGAATTTTCTATATCTTCACCATCAGCCATTGTTTACAATTTTGGGCTTATTTATATATTAGATTGTGCAAAATTATAATTCTTTGAAAAAGCTGTTTCGCTATTGTTGTTAAAATAGGAAACAGAACACAGGGTGCATCAAGGTAAAAAAAAATCCTTAAAAAGGTGTTGGTCTTCAATGAATAGTGTAGTTTCCTTTTTTTAATAAATTTAATAAAACATTATTTTATAGCCTATTTCCACCAAGCACTTAAATGCATTTAAGGCCTCTGTTAAGTAAATGAAATGTCAAACGTTTCCACCGAAAGTGAGTTAACTCAAACCGCTGATTTTTGTTTACATTTGCAGTTTACAAAATTTGCCACAACTATAGAAATCATGAATTCAAGAGACCGTATTCATTTTATTTGGCTATTTCTGCAATCTTAAGACTTGCAAGTGCAGATTATTTCTTCACGGACAAACGTTGCTAAAACGAATATGCTTTTATGCATGTTTCCATTTTCATATTTGTTCGTTTGTTCTCTCAAATTATTTATTTTGCGCAATCAGCTGATAGTTACCAGAGCCACGTATATTTTTATGTTGAGGGGATCGTTTGATATTTCACAATTGTTTTTTGTTTGTTTCTTATAGTTTTTTTTTGAAGGCGGAGAAGCATTATCTTCGCCAATTACTTAATATAGGCATTTATGTTAAAACTAATGCAAAAAAGGAATTTTTATACAAAAAATTTCACCAGGCAAAATAAAAGTCTCGCCCCTCATTAAATCCGAAAATACACGACTCTGGCAAGAAGTACACCGGAACTTCCGAAATGATTACATTATTAGTGAAAGCATCGAATGTTAACATAACATTTTCTGTTAAATTGCCGAAAGTGAGTTAACTCACTTTGAAAAGTGAGTTAACACACTTTTATACAACAACAAACACATGGGAATTACCGCATTTAAATGCGATGTTTAAATACATTTAAGCTAAAATGCATTTAAGGTCCGGTGGAAATAGGCTATTAAATTTAATAATAAAGAATTGCAAAAATTAAAAAAAAATTATTATTCGTTTATCTAATGATTCACAAAAACATTATTGTACAGTAACTCAGTTTAAGTTGAATCAAAATCAAAAAGCTTATTGAATTAACCGTCATTTAAAGTATTACAGTTTAGCGGCTGCAATGGCCGAGTAGTTAGTTATCGGTACTATGCGAGGATCAATGGTTCGAATACTAGTTAGATCCACAGAAAACGATAAATATTTTTTTATATGTATGATTGTAGTCGGCTCTTGCCAAGGAATATCAACCGTTCAGAGTGTACCTCGCATATGAAATATAAAATATCCCCATAAAAAGCCTTCAGTCGTTTGAGACAACTTACAGCTTTCCGTCTAATTAGTCCACGCGAATTCAAATATACTTGACTCTGGACCTTTGCTCGAAGCTTATCCCAATCGGAGCTTCTATTAAGGATTTAATTTTATCATATCTCACTGAGATAGCTGTACCATTGAGCAGCCTGGATCCTTGCGAATACATACATATCTATTTACATACATACATATTTATATCTCAATTAATTACTATAATAATAAATTACTATAATACTGTCTGGTAATTGATGCTGAACTAAATTAAAACCACCAAAAATAGACAGACGCGAGATGACCGAACTAACGCCATTATTAAAGCAAAAGTTTTATATTGCAGCATTGCTCCATTGCAAGATTTCGAAATTAGCTATTGTTGGCTGGTGGTTTCTTTCAGTCATTTCAGTACCCATCATGTGTTCAATTTACCTGCGCATGTCTATTGTCATGAATCACTCGGGTTTGGAATAAAGGCATTTCGGCTTAATCTGTATGTATATGTGTGTGTATGTATGTATGTATGTTACATTTTGCAAATTTGCTCAGCGGTTTATTTATTTTACATATTTTACATATGTATGTACATACTCGTATGTAAGTACGTTTATGTGTAGACAGCCGTAGATTTACACGAATAGTGTAATAATTGCGCATTTGCCAGCTAGACGCCGAAAACAAATGCCACAAAATGAATCTGAAATAAAGAAAAAAAAAACAACATAATAATAAATAAATAGTAACAAACTTATGGACACAGGCGGCATATGTACATGTATATTAAGTTATGTATACATATGTGTTTCGAATGAATATAAAAATGTAGTTAATGCACAAGCGTAGAAATGTTTGCGAAAACTGGGTCATCCATTTATGCAGCAAAACTGTCAATATATCATCGTAGGAGTATCAATTGCAGTCTACTTACACGTCTGGATTTGTGAATTAGCCAACATTTATTAATTTTTCTTTTTTACTTATTTTAAAAATATTTATACGTACGTGTATACATACACACTCTCTTTTATCCAACTTTTATTCTATTTGATATTTCCAAGAATGTTTATGGGTGTTACTTTACATATCTGGACCACTTCTTGGAAAGTTTGTTCCCCCTTAACCTGCCCGAGAAGCAAACGGCTAAGCTTTTAATATAATCTGTCGGGTCGATTTGTAGATTCTCGAAAACAAACATTCAAGCAAAAATTTTTATTCATATAGAAGATTTTTGGTTAGGTTAGGTTCTCACTTAGACGATTTTACGTACTCGCATCCCGGCTTCCTAGTCGCTGTAGACAGTTATAAGATTGAAATCGAAGGTAATTTCATATATCTTGAAACCAGTGTTAACGCACATTAGCTCCTACCAACAACTACTGAAAAGGCAATTAAAAAGTAAAGCACTCTCAGAGACCTAAACTCTACAAGTCACCCATAATTCAGGTCCCGCTATAGTGTGCGGAGGTATAGAGAATGGCAATCTCAGATGAGTCTTTGATAAGCTGTAAGAGATATTTAAACGGCGACATACCCATACTTCAGCGAACCAAGAGGTAGAGGCTAGGTCACGTGGTACGAATAGAGAAGAACCTTTAGCTTTGAAAGTTTTCGATGCCGTTGGAATCAGAGGAAGTGTAAGACCTCCATTTCGTTGTAAAGACCAGATGGTGAAGAATGTGGCTACACTTGGTATTTCGAAAAAATAAAAGGGAAGGAAGGAATGGCGCCCTGTTGTTAGCACGGATATAATCACGTGAACGCCGCCTAAGCCAGTCAAGAAGAAGAAGACGTATATGTTATGAATTCTCAAAATTTTATTGGATATAATCATAAAACCACACTTGTGAAATATTTTACAACCTCGTTCATGTACGAGCCTACATGTATGTATATGTATGTGTTTTTGTTATAACGTTTAAGTAAAAAATTGAAAAAAAAAAACGAAATTATTTTTATTGCGTTATTAAAATCATTAAAAATGAAAAAAAAAATATTATTTATTCATAAACTCAATGCACATTCCTTGCTGTATCACTTGTATCTATGTATGTATGTATATGAATTATAACTTCTTTGTTGCTTTAAAATATTTATGCAAAAGCCTCGCCAACGCTCACCACATTATATAATTGAAGCTTTGTGACCACTGAAGCGATTTACGGCCGGGCTCCTTGCGCTGTGGGTCTTAAGGATTTTCACATTGATTGGAGGAACCTCCGAACGGCTGATGTTTTTTTTTGGCTTAAGTACACTCGGAGCGGTTGACATTCCCTGCCGAGGGGCGACCGTAGTTAGAAAAAAATTTAACTTAATTTTTTATATCAAATTAATTTTGTATAAATTTAATTTTTTTTTTTTTTTTTTTTTTTTTTGTTATTGATGTTGGTCGGATCAGATTTCGAGTCCTAGCCTTCCGAACGGTAGTACACACCACTAAACACTCGGCTATTGCGGCCACAACAACCACATTACATAATTGAAATGCGGCGCGCGCTGCTTCTCTTCTTTGCTACCAACAAAATTAACGCATTAACTCGTTCGCGCTTTTGAAATGTGTCAAATGCTCATGGTAGGTACGAGGTACGAGTATGTAGATGAGGCATCGACAATATGTTTTTATGTTTCGCGAACAAAGAAGTGAAAAATGGCATCAAAAATTTTGGATCTTAAATGCAACAGGTTTAGCAAAGCAATCAACAGGTGCATTAACATGAGACTACACACATACATGCAAATATATTCATATGTATATATGTATATATAGAGAAGAGCTTAGGTGCATTGGTAGAGACGTGTATTGCGATTGGCCTTTGTTGCAGTTGTTGCCTTGAGCTGTCCGTTCGTTTTGTGTCCGTATTTTCGCTTTCACTACATAGGTGGCATGAAGCTCGTACATAAAAGGTAGTGGAAAAGCGTTGAAGCATAACGTAGTATAATATTAATATTTAATTATTGTTGTAATGCAATTAAATTGGCAAGAAATGTGCCAAAAGCTATTACATAATATTACATGTATTAGATTAGATAAGGCCATGATCTAAATAAAACAATAAATTTTTATGTTGTAATAAAGACAAATCGTAAAAAAATTTAATGTGTCTGAGAAAAATTATGTAAGGTAAAAATGTATGTGAAATATATTTTGACAATTTTTTGTGTTTGTGTTTTGACAAATGCAACTCCTATTTTTTATGCATTTTTTATTTTATTTAGTTTCATATTTTTATATTTTTTTATTTATTTTTTATTTTATTTAGTTTCATATTTTTATATTTTTTTAATTTATTTTTTTAATTATTTGTGTGAAAAATAACTATGCGTAATTACATTACATTAGAGGCAACTAGCAGCTTGGACTATCAGTTATATATTTTGTTATATTACTTCATATGTGCAAATATATTTTTAAATTTTTTTATATTATGTTATTTATTTATTTGTTTTATTTATATATGTATCTGCTTAGGTTCTCTATATGTATGTCCGATTTTATTTTTTTTTTAATTAATTATTCATTATTTATTTATTTATTATATTTCCTATATTATTTACTTTTTTGTAAGTTTTTAATACTATTTATTGTTATTCCTTTATGTTTCCTAAATGTTGTATATATAATATTTTTAAATTTATTTAATTTGTTCTATTTTTTTATATCATTTTAATTTTTATATCATATCATATCATCTATGGTATTTTATATTTTCTAATTTTTTAATGCATTTCTTTGTATTTTTCTGTATTAGTTTGCTTTTATAAGTTTTAATTTTTTTTGTACTCTTTATTTTTGTATATCTTTATACATTTTTTAAATTTTTTTGTTTTTACATTTTTTTTATAATTTTATTTTACTTTTTTTGTTCCTTTTAACTACCTTCAGTTTTGTAATTTTTAGTTTAATTCAAATATTTTCTTAATTTTTTACATATTTATTCTTTTTAATTTTTTACATTTTATTTTATTTCAAATTTTAGTTTTTTATATTATTAGTTTTTATTTTACTTTTAAGTTTTATATGTTTTTAGATAATATTTTTTTTAGTTAATATTTTATATTTTTAATATTTGTATATTTTTTTTGTTTTGTTGAAATTTTTATATCTTTTTATTTCTTTATATTATTTTATTTTCTACTGTTATATTATTTTATTTCATATTTTACTTTTATATGCGTTTTGAATTTTTTTATTTATTTATTTATATTTTTTGTTATATATGATATTCGATTTTTCTATATTTTGCTAATTTTTTTATTGCTTTCCTCTTTATATCTCTTTTTATTTTCAATATTTTTTTATTTTATTTTATTTTGTCCTGTTATTTTTCTATTTTCATATGGTTTTCAATATATATTTTTATTTTTCGTTAGTTTTTTATATATTTAATTTTTGTATATTTTGTCAATTTATTAGCTTTTTACCTTATTGAAATTTTTAAATCTCTTTAGTTTTTTACAATATTTTATTTTATTCCATTCTTTTATATGGCTTGATTGGATTTTTTATGTTTTTTAATATTTTTTATCTTATTTAATTAACTTATTTTTTTTATTATTTATATTCTAATAAATTTGTTTTGCTTACTCGGTTATCTTATAATATATTATTTAATTTTTTAATATATTTTATTTTTTTTTTTATAATTTTGAATTTTTGTATATGTGGTCAATTTATTAGCTTTTTATTTTATTAATATACAAATATATCTTTTTAGTTTTTTACATTGTTTTTCCATTTTGTTATATTATTTTATTCCATTTTTATGTTTATTAAATAATTTTTATTTTTTTGAAACTTTTAATATTTGTATATTTTGTTAACTAATTGTTTATTTTCTTATAATTTTTAATTTTTTATATTTTATACCTATCTCTTATATTATATTATTCTATTTTTTTAATTTTTTTTTTGTTTCTTTTACATTATTTTGAGTTTTTGTATATTTGGTCAATTTATTAACTTTCTATATTGTTAAAATTTTAATGTCTTTTTATTTTTTTGTAGCATTTAATTTTATTCCTTTCTATTATATCATTTTATTCAATATAAAAGGCTTTTAATACTTTTTAATTATTATTATTTTTTTAATTTAATTTTTGTTATTATTTACATTCTTATAATTTTTTCTTTTTATTCTGTTATCTCATATCATAGATATTATTATTTAATTTTTTAATATTTTTTACTTTTATTTTTTTATAATTTTTAATTTTATATATTTTGTTAATTTATTAACTTTTTGTCGTTTACATATTGATATTTTTTAATTTTTTTCATACTTTTTGTAATGTTTTCATTAATTTTTTTTTTTAATTTTCTGAATTCTTTCAATTTTTATAAATTTTTTGAATTTTTTTTTTCATTTTTGTATCTTTTCCTTTATGTTTTGTTTAGTTTATTTATATTATCTATTTTTTTTTTAGCTTTTTTGTACTATTTTTTTTAAATTTTTTTTAATCTCTTTTTATAGTTTTCATTTTAGTAAACTTTCTTTCAAATTTTATAGATATTTTTATTTTAAATTTTCCATTTTTTATAATTTTTTTATTTTTCCTTTTTTTTTTATTTTTAATTATATTCTTATTTTATATAAATTTTAGATTTTTTATTGTTTTATATTTTTTAAGAATTCAAAAAGTATTGTTTTAGTCTTTTTTGTACTTTATTTAAACAAGTTTCTATTTTTTTTTATTTATTTTAAGATATTAACAGTTAAATCAAGTGAAAGACTTTGTTATCTATAAAGAAGGAATTATATATTATTTGCATAAAAACCATTAATTATATTTCACTCACCTTTAATACGAGCTGAAATTACTTTTGAAAAATACTAGTGCATTACTAATAAAAATATTTCTTTGAAATTTACTTACCACCATCATTTTAACAATCCAATCATTTCAAATAAAAACCATTTAGCGCATTTGAGTGTTTCTTAAACTTATTATTTAAATAAAGTAACATTAAAACTAGGGCAGTTTTCAAGTTGTAAAAAATTATATAACACATTTGGCTTATAATACAATGGAATAAAATAAAACAACGAAGCGGACATAACTGTTGGTTTTGCACAGTAGTATGTGCCACCAGCGCAGTCTCGCCTGCTCCATTGAACCCCCCGCAAATTCCATTTCAACGTCCTCTACTCTGCTCGAATAGGCCATCGGTCCTCCTTGTTCTCGTTATAGTGCTAATCTCCTTACTTTATTAATATCCTCTATCTTGTGTTTGTTGTTGTTGTTGTTGTCGTTGTTTTGGTGTTACTCCCGTTCAGCTCAACAGGAATGCGTACAGACTTTGTTTGTTTTGTTTTAGTACCATCAGGATATGGAATTAACAGAAGTGAGTATTTTTTCTATATTTTACTTGATTGGTTGCTTGTTGCTTGGTTTATTCATCCTTCTCCGAATATTTTACTTCCGCTCCTTCGGTTCTTCCTACTTGTTTCTACTTTGTATTCGCGATCTGTGGTGGCATTCCTCGAATAACGTCGGTTTTTTTTTTGTTTTTCACTTTTAATTTACTACAATTTTATATTATTTTTTTTTCAGCTTTTCCCGTGGTCCTCATCTAGTTTGCCTTGTTTCAACTCGTGTTCATACGCTATACTCATACTTTATCATTATATTGCATACATCTACTCAGCCTTCTCATTGTTCAGTTTTTCAAATTTCTCGTTACGAAAAAAAATGAAGCGATTCATTGAAGCGATTTATTCGTGATGGTGATAATCGTGATGTTCTTCCTTGTGATGGAAGATTGGCACTTCGACGTGGTATTTCTCTGGTATGGGTATCTCTTTGTGTACTGGTACCTTCACCTCTGAGTAGACTGGATATGGTTTCTCAATGGGCACTTTCACTTCATACGGTACTGGTTTCTCCACTGTGTATGGTACCTTCTTCTCCACAGTGTAGGGTTGTGGCACGGGTACCTTTACATGTACTGGATATGGTTTCTCAACTACGACTTTGTATGGTTTGTCGACTGGCACTTTCACTTCGTAGGGTACCTTCTTCTCCACAACCACCGGGTAGGGTTTCTCAACCTCGACTGGGTATGGTTTTTCAACTTCAACGGGATATGGTTTCTCTACGGGCACCTTAACCTCATAGGGCACCTTCTTGATGACCTCATATGGTTTTGGTACTGGTACCTCAACTTTCACTTCATAGGGGATCTTCTTGATCACTTCGTAGGGTTGTGGTACGGGCACTTTCACTTCATAGGGGATCTTCTTGATAACTTCGTAGGGTTGTGGCACTGGTACTTTAACTTCGTAGGGCTTGTCAACAGGTACTTTAACTTCATATGGTACCTTCTTTTCCACAATATATGGTTTTGGCACATGCACTGGTACTTTGACGTATTCCTTAACATGTACTGGTACCTTTTTCTCCACATAATATGGTTCCGGCACGGGTATTTTCACTTCATAGGGCACTTTCTTTTCCACCGTGTATGGTATGTGCTTGGTAACGGTATAAGGCACAGGAACTTTCTTCTCAATCGTTATGGTCTTAATGTGTTCATGATGTTCATGATGATGTCCATAATCGCCTAGATGAAGACCACGTTTCTCGACGGTTTTACTATCGTCCTTGGCTTCGGCTGCATCTTTCTCACTTGGCGCTGCAGCAGCAGCAGCAGCAGCAGTATCGGCTGCTTTTTCAGCGGCCGGCGCGCAATTGACAAGTGCCACGCACAAGGCGAGACAAGGGAGTACAAACTGTAAATGAAGAAATAATAAAATGTCACAATTTTAATAAGAAAATATTTATTCAAGCAGACAGAACACACACGAATTTCAAAAATGCAATTTAATTTTTTTTTAACTTTCAATTTTCCTATTTACCAAACGCATTGTTGAGCTGTCGGTTTGAACGGTCCAATAGAGGAAGATTAACACTAAAAGTTTGTTTAGCTAATAACGAGATCCAAGTCGGGACTGACTTATTCAGCTGTGGTTGCTTACTTTATATACTTGTGAAAAGCAGCAGCGGCCGCGGCAGCAACAGCAGCTCGGCGCGCGCATGCGCTATTGTAGCAACTATTGGCTCGTTGACGTGCACTGCTTACCACGCCGCCATCCATCGTGATGCATACATATGTATATATATATTTTAGTATTTACATATTTTTCTATGTGTTTACAAGCATATATGCATACATATATATATTGGTAACGCCATCAGAGTGTTGCAGTGTTACCACAATTATAATGGCCAAAAACAAGCGCCATATTACGAACAACAACAACGACCGCAATACCGTACAAATATACATATATATGTATGTACATATGTATATCTGCATCCATTGGCATCGAAGAAACGGTAGCAGCCAAACAAACAAAAACAAAACAAAAAAGCGCATGGAAATATGGCTTTAGTCAGCGAAACATACTTCATATAAACAACAAAGGAAAATGTATTTAGTAATTCGTAATTAGCTCTAATTTCCCAAAGATTAAATGCCAGACACCGCAGGCCCGCCAGCCCGCCAGCGAAAGGTTTTTCTATGTACAAACCGTTGCCCGTTCCCAAATCGTTTTCATCGACTTGAGCTCGGTGAGGTGTTGCAGTAATAATATTTTAAGTACGGCCACGCCCATTTATGACCTCCGCGTTGGCTAAAATGCGTCAGGCCATATACTGAAAGCCAGCTTCCCAAACTTGAGTAGATTAAAAATGCTTTTGTATCGGTAATGAAAACCGTTTATGTCAAGGTCGGCCAAAAAACGTTTGCGATCTCTACCAAATTGTTGGAGAATGGTAAATGCATAACCTTCAGACCAGTAAAGGCATTTCTTGCTTGCCCTCAATGATTCTTCTTTACATTACTGGTAACTATCAGTCAGAGGAAGCAGCTCGCCCATACCAGGTAACACAATAACATTACTCAACAGTTTAAATGCTGGCACCTGTGGGTTCACCTTCTAACAAAGAACAAGTAGCCCGTGTAAAGTAACAAAATATTTCCCTCGTCTAGAACAAAACTGTGGAGAGCTCTTTTCAAAACTAAGCAAACGTCCCTTTGCTATAAAAAAAAATGCTTGTAAGTGCATGCTACGAGTGCGAAGATCAAAGTTTTGCGGCTTGACCGGTCAAATAGTTGAAACATTTCCTTCTTAAACCAACCGTCCCTCGGCAGGGTATACAAATGCCCTAATAAAAACTCGTCAACAGTTCATTGGCTGCTTTAGCTCCTCCGTACGTACAAAAAACATAACGAGGAATACCAAAAATCGAAGAAGAAGTTGGACCCCATCGAATTATTTAAGCGGTAGTCAATCAATTATTCGTGATCAAAGAGACAACGTCTTGTATGTGCTCTTATATTCGACCAAGTATGAATAATGAGCGGCGTTCTTCGGAAAACACTTCTAAAAAAGTTCCTTCATTCAACACAGACTTGAAAGAATCTAAGTAATACTCGTAGAGCCATCTTTAAATTCACTCAATCCAACTCAATAATAGAGCTCGTCGTAGAAACCACACCTTGTTGCTTTTGGTTTACATGGAAAAGAGACGACCAGAACACGTCGTATGGTTGTTCAAATGTACGATCACAAACCAATCATGGTCATAGAGACAGGCGTGGTGAACGTGCTTGTGAAAGAACAAACTGTCTTAACCAATATTAAATCTTCACAAGGTACGATTATACCGCTCTCACTAAAGATATTTCTTACTCCAGACTCTCCACCATCTGTCTTAATGACATCACTATTTAATGAGGCTTCACCGGAATGCTACTCCAATGATTTTTAACAAAGAGGTGCAGAAGAAACAACGAGTGGAACAAACAAACAGTGAACGGAGTCTTGTCTCTCACGTCGCTCTTGGAAACCATTAAAGGCGTAGAAAATGTCGACCATCTAGGACTCCCCACAACAATGTCAGCCTTGTAGTCCTACGCCGAATAGCTCTTACCAGAGAAGCTGACTCAAGTTGGCTGAAGGAGATCACTTGTAGTGTGCCCAAGCAGCTATGGCCGAAGCTGAACGCGAACAAATCCAAACATCTTATCCTTCTAGACCGGCTCTCCATTAGCATAACGACAGGCATAGCAACTGTAAACTGTTTAATTGGATTTTACGGGAAAATAATGGGATATCATTCTAATGATTTCTACCGCAGCTTCAGGGATGAAGAAGAGGAGGAGACCATAGAGACCTCTGCCACTGTCCAGCCTTGACATCAGCACGATAAAAATTTCATGGGAAACATTTCTCCGATTGTCTCGCTGAGATAGTCTCAGCGAATATTGTAAATCTCGTTGCCTTTATAAGGCTGGTTCGAAATGGTTCGATCACCTGAGAAGGTTATAAAGTTAATTTGCTGGTGATTTGAGTGGGCAATCGAAAATTAAAGTTTTCTCGACAAACAATGATAATTTGATCTTTGTCCCTCATCATTCCCGTCCTTCTTTATTGGGCGTAGACCTGAACGATGACAACATCCGATGAGTCGGCACTGGAAGTTCTTTGGTAGAAGGTTTTGCGGCAAATACCGCAGTCGATGGAACGAAGAGCTGTGAGAAATATAAGGCGACATTGACACAGTTCTGTGAAACACGAGATAGCGGCTGCCTTGGCTAGGTTATGTTATTCGAATGGATGAAAACTCATCAGTTTTGAAAGTATTCAAAGCTGTACTCGCGATTGAAAGCAGAGGAAGAGGAAGAGAAAGAGGAAGACATCCACTAAGTGAAGAAGATCAGCTTGCACAAGTGGGGGCTGCACTTCGTACCACAAAATTGGCGCCAAATGGCAAAAGGAAACGACTGGCTCTAAAGGATTAAGCGGTGCCTAGGTTGGTGCCACAAGGACTCAGTGGTTTTAAATGTCAGCAGCTACATCAGCTGAACTCATTTAAGCAGAAAAAAAAAACTAAACTAAACTAAAAGAAACTAAGTAAACGCAAATCGTGAACAAGAAAACACTCTTAGTTACCACTTAGGATACAGCTATTAACCTGGTCCTGACCTGGTCATGAGGACGGCTGTGGAGCTGATATAGTTCCTTTTTTCTCGGATCTTTTTCAAGATTTGTTGCATGGTGGGTGTGAAGAACCCCATGTTTTAATATTTTCTACAAAGAGTGCGTTAATTTTAACAGTCTCTGGGGTCAATGTATGGACTGAGGAGAGCACTCTCAAGTACTAATGTTGTTATGATGTTTTCTTAAACCTTCTAGGGGCAAACAGTAATATGTGTTACCTTTTCTATAGTGAATTCTAGGAGTTAGCTGCTTCTTCTAATTGGTTTAAAAAATATGCGACTCTATTTATTAGACGTGCACAGGGTCTGTCGGATTCTAAACTGGATAAATAGGGATTTAACATTCTAAACTGTACAGCATACTTTGGTACTAAGGTTATCTGGGTCCCCAAAGGCAGATCAAGCATTTCATCTGCTAAGGTATGCTTAGAAACTGCGAACTCCATAGGAATTACTTTCCGTCTCCGTCCTTTACGTGATATACTGAACAGTCTGTAACTTCCTTACTGATACACGGCGGCAGCGTGCATGAAGTGATGAAGACGTTCAGGCCGCCGTTTATCAATGACTTGCGATTTTATTACATTCATACATACATACAGTAGGAAAGTGATCAGCATTATATCGTTCAAACAGTGACAGCAAGATCGAACAGTCATGAGCACATACGAGCGAAGAAACCTATTAAAGTAGGTCACCAAGGATGATCCCTTCTTGGACAACTGAAAACCGCAATGCGTGCGCTGCCTAAAAGTATTTTTGGTGGAGAAGTGATTTAAATGGGAGAAGAAGGCAGAAGAAGGCGAAGAATTTGTTTATTCCTTGAGCTTTCATCTCATGTATTCAATGCGACTTTTGCTTTCTGAACCCAACCAAATGGCAGATAAATACATACATACATACATATTATGGATGTATATATGTGTACTTTCTCGTAGTCAAACGCAATGAACTAATATTAATGACCGACCACTTCACACTTAATCTTGCTAAAGATATCAACTATATTTCCAACAACAACAATAAAAATAATAACAGCCATTTCGTATTGTTGCAGTATATTTAGGAAACATTGTAACGAAACCCATTGGCTTAGCATATAGTATATATGTATATCAATTGTATGTATGTGCATACTAGGGGATTTACAAAAAGTTCGGTCAGTTGTTGACTTTCAATTTGTTTTTCTTAAATCTAAAAATATTAAATTCCTTGCAATTACTTTATTATTCTTCCTTTCAAATTTTACAACGATCGTCTACAATGGAGACGAGAAACCTCAAGATAACGGAGGACAGGTCACACGGAATCCCATCACCAACGCAAAACAGATATTCACCATGTGATCCACTTCGGGTTTCGGCATAATTTACAGCCAATACAAATATTCAGTGAATTCCATATTGAATATGGAACGATTGCACCGTCTTTAAAGACTATTTCTAAGTGGTTCCGAAGATTCCAAGCCAGACATTTTTCCGTATAGAACTACCCCCGAGAAGATCGACCCAAATCTTCCACTGATGACGTCACTGTAGCTTTGGTCAAGTCCAAAATTGACGAAGACCCATGATAGACACAAGAAATGATTGCCAATGAATTGGGCTTGAATGTCATGACTGTATAGCGAATATTAAGCAATCATCTGTGATACACGAAAGAAACTGATCGAATTTTAAATGAGTCCCAAAAAAAGGCTGGATTTAGCTAAATTTTTCCTAAACAAATTCGAAAATGGTCAGTCTAGCAACTTTAATAATGTCATTACTGGTGACGAATCTTGTTTGTATAAAGACGATCCAGAAACCAAACAGTAGTCCATGGTATGGCGCCCAACAGCAGCAAACCCCCAGCCGTAAAATCCAAGCAACAAAAATCACCCAATCCAAAGTCGTAGCTGCTATTCCACTGGCAAAAAGTCAGACGGTAACTGCTAAATGGTA